CTACATCTTACTTCTGGATTTGAAACTTTAAACAAACTGTTGTTTGTAATTAGCTCTGATTAACTCGCATTTAATATTATTGTAAATATTTAATAATTATCTAATTTAACGATAGTTTTAGAGATCTAACATATCACTATAACAAAATTAATACCTACATGATATGTAGATTTGAAACATATACTTATAATATTAGCTCTAATTAACTTACGTATACCGTTGTAAATAATTATCTTAAATATGCAATTTTTTCCCTCTGCTGAACAATTTTATATTTTTTATTTGTGTCACTTTTCTTGCGGGATGCGAACAAGTTTTGCACTTCTTTTAAATATAACATCTTTTATCTGAACCCTAAGGGTAAATGAGGTTTATTGACTATAAAAAAGTTCAGCTTAAGTTCATAAATTTCAAATGTATATAAAAACTATAATATATATATGCCCATGGATTCTTTGAAAGTTACTTTTTATTTCAAATTTACGTTCCAAGAAATCTAATCGTTACTGCGCTGTTAACTTAATTATTATCGAAATTGTATCTCATGCTTATATAATTATTTCTAAAAAATCACCCTGAAATCGAATATAATCAGAGATCATATGAGCATTGTTTTCGCGGGCGATCATCTCGCGTTTGCAGTGCATGATGATGGACATACACGATTTGGAAATTTCCGAAATTGGAATAACGGCTCTCTGGATGCGGTCGGCTGATGCGTACAATATACAGTTACATAACTGCCAGTTTCAGCCGGGACACGACGCGCCATGAATAAGTCTCTAACCACTCTTGTTGGCCCGACATTGTCAGCAGAGCAGCTTTCGACAGCTCGTCCCCTTGCCTCCATCCCCCGCGTCGTTGTAACCAGGTCTCTTCGAGCTCTCGTTATGACATCCCCCGTAATGAGAACGTCGAAATTCTATGTAACCCCTTTTACCGGCTCATTCCCGCTCGCCATCAGTAACGCGATTCAATGTATCTTCACGAAAGAAGTATCGACTGCATTCGTTCCTGTAATAATATTCCGGAGATAAATTAACGAAAATGTAGACAATTGCGAAAATGAAGAAACGTCACTGCTTCAGTAACCCTACATAAACGCAGACGAACATTATTCTCACAAATTACGAGCGAGGAGATATCATCTCCTCTTCACTAAAACTGAAATTTTAATTGGTGACTTCCTGCAATTATAATTCACATAATTTTCAGATGAACAATCTTTAGCATTTGTATCGTATAGACGTACAAAATACTTCATATCAAGCTATAAAGTGAATATCTTTGAATTTTAGAATGATAGCTTTCATTTATAAAAATATAAAAATTTGTAACTTCTTTTTCTGTAATTTTAAAGAACTTTTTCGCAAAGTACAGCATTCTCTACGTTAGCATTAATAAGGTTATCACAAATTCCTCATCTTAAAATTCCATAACTTTTTCCAGATTTTCAGACAAATTTCCTTGACTTTCAAGATTTTTTATATTTTCGTCCTGATATGGAAACCGTTAAATATTTTATTGAAAGATCAATTTAACACAGCAATGTAAATTATTATTAATGTTGCTAACACTATTTACATTTGTAAAGTTGATAATATTTCAAAACTGCATATAGATATGTATTAAATTTTGTAAAGCTATGAATTTTAATTTTTCAGAAAATTTTACAAAATTCTCTGACTTTCCTCTGATTTCCCTGACCATCTTCAATTTCCCTGACAATTCTCTGATTCTCTTCATTTTGTGGTAACCCTGGTTAAATTGGATCGAGCGAATTTTGGTTTTGTAGCGCATTTTCGCCCTCCGCTCATAAATGAAGATCGTACAAGATAGGAAGGCGAGACGCTTTCCCAGCGTGCCTCTCTCACAGCAGTAAAGTAAGTTCGCCGCAGTCACCCAGCGTACTGGTAATTAAAGTAATGAAGGATAAACCGCCTGAAGTAACTCGTGTAATTTATCCGTGACTGCTTCCCGACTAGCTCATTATTGTACTTCGACCTTCTTCCGTGCGAATTTACTTCCATCCCTTCCGCTTCTGACGTGCGGAACATACGTCTAAATTTTTACAGCTGCGATAGTCTGCAAATAATTGTTTTAGGTGAAACGGTCGGAGAGATGAGCGAGAGCGTAACACAACGGTTGAAAGTAGAAATAATTTTCATATCGGGAAACGCGGTGAGAGAACCATGGTCGTGCGTTTCACAAAATAATTCAAACTAAACATTTGTTCGCTAGAGAAATATATCCGAGAAATACGAGGAAAAATTTGAATAAATGGATATTTAATCAATAATAAACACGGATGGTTTGCATAATTATTTCCAGCATCTTTTGAAAATTCATATTGAAAAAAAAGTGTTTCGTATTTATAACTATAAACTGAATGGTGAAAAA